GCCACAGGCCAGCGTGGAGGGCCACAGGCCACCACAGAGGGCCACGGGCCACAGCCACAGGCCAGCGTGGAGGGCCACAGGCCATGGGCCATCACCACAGGCCAGCATGGAGGGCCACAGGCCACCATAGAGGGCCACGAGCCACAGCCACAGGCCATGACCACAGGCCAGCATTGAGGGCCACAGGCCACCATAGAGTGCCACGAGCCACAGCTGCAGGCCAGCGTGGAGGGCCACGGGCCACGGGCCACGGCCACAGGCCACCATAGAGGGCCACAGGCCACAGCCACGGGTCAGTGCCTCGAAGAGTTCCCGGAGCCTTGGCAGGGCCTTCTGCCCCTCCCCCCCAAAATAATATAAAAAATAAATAAGGTTAATTCCTGTTCCCTTCACCCCGACCGCCCCTGATTCTAGAGACCAGACAGGCTGAAACATGGAATGTCTGAGACGTGTGAAGAGGGAAATCTCGGAGGCTCCTGGGGGCCCTAGAAAGGGATGGCCCCTGTGCAGCCCTGCCGGGACCCCCATTTCTGGTTCTGGGTTGTTGGCTCTTCCCGCCACCCCTTCCCATGTTGTCACTCGGTGACTGAGGCAGCCCTGGCGGGCGGGGTGGGGCCTGGGCGGGTCTGGGGTTTGTCCCTCAGGAGCTCCACCATCTCCCCAGAGGGAGAGTGTGGACGTGTGGCCTTCATCCCGCTCTTGGGTCTGTAAGTGCCTCTGAGGTCTGACCAGAGTCTCTCCTGCTGCTGCTGACTTTGGGTCTGTGTTCCTGGATTGTCTCCGCTGGGAGGCCGGGCCTGAGGGCGGAGGGGTGAGCTGGTCCCTTTTCTGGCCCTCGGAGGGGTTTAGACAAAGCCGGGACCAGCGGGTGCTGACCTGCATCTTGTCACATCCGCTGGGGCACCGAGGTCTGGGGTGGCGGAGGGGGCTGGCTGGAAGAACCTGTCGGGACAGGAAGCCCCGTCCCCACCCCAGATGGCCCGGCGGATCAGTGGGAGATGGGGGGGGGGGACTCTGCAAATCCGTGCATCAGCTCTCGGGAATAAACCTGCATTATCCAGGGGGCCGGGGGCGAGGGTTTCCTGGCTCCGAGCCCAGCACGAGTCCGAGCAGGGGCCGTGGACAAACGCATTTCCCAGGTGGGAGGACTGAGGCCCAGGGCCCTCTGGCTGGGGGAAGGGAGCTCCGTGGTCGGGGTGAAGGGGTCGGGTGGGTGGCTGAGGCCTCCCTCTCCAGGGGCTTCCTGCCAGGATCGGGAATTTCTGGTCCCTGAATTTCCTGCTTGAAGA